GAAATATGGAATGTCTGGCAGATACACACACACATTAAAGCAGCGATGGTTTCTTATAAAATTATTTCATTCCGAAGGCAACCGTCGCCTGATTGCATAAACATTTTGCTGTTCAAAGTTTTCGACGCTTATAACGCAAGAAATGGTTGGTGAGATACGTTTGCTAAAAATATCAAAAGCGGCAGAACATATAATAATTAAAATAAAATTAAATATTTAATGAATTATTAAGAAAACGAATGTAAAAGAATTTACTCAGGAAAGTGATCGGCGCTAAACTTAAAAAAGAATTATAAAAAAAATTAAAAAATTGTTCTAAAATACACTGTTATAATGTTGTATTTTAAACATTGTACAATACTTTTATGTGTTATGATATCAAATATTTCTTTAGCTTTAGTGGAAAATCCGGTTAAACAAAAGGTTAAAATAATTTTCCGATATAATTTTTCGTTTTCTTTTTTTAATCGATTTGGTTTGATTTTAGTTAAACATCTTGATTTTATACGAGTCTCTATGTCCGGACAGTAAACAATTTATGCAAAACCAATTGGGTCCGAACTATGAAAGCTTAAAAGACTTCATCGATATAAAGTTGGTGCCGTTTGGTAAATCAAATGTACGTTTTTACAAGTTATTGCATTAACGCAAAAAGTCGATGGCGTTTTTCAACCAAATTTGCAGCTTTTGTTATCTTAAATGAACTTTACTAAATAATACAAGTGCTGGTGAAACCAATATGGCGTCATTGTAGAGCTTGGAAGAAGAATGTAGCCAAGTTATCTGTAAACGGCGCTTTTAAAATCAGGAAGCAACAAAACAAACTTTAGTCGAACGGGCGAGGACGTATAGTTCAGTTTTTGCCGAGACTTTCGTAGTCTTGCAATGCCGTGATAGATGACGCCTTTCCTCTATTCAATTTTAGACGCTTTGGTTTGGTTTCATTAGAGAATGAAATTAACCGTTCGACCAGGTCGGTTAATGATGCACGATTCTCTTCTAATCCCCCCAAACCATAAACTTTACTTTGTATAGCGTCAATCAGGGTTTTCCGAAAATTTGTGTATCTTCACTTATGTTAGACCATAGTCTTTTTACACATTGCTGTCGGATTTGAGCTACTTTTCCGTTGTACATTATCTTAATAAAAAAAGAGGCTTACCCCTTATAAAATTTCGGCGCAATTCGTGTATAAAAAATCAGTTCATTAAATTTCCCGCTATCTACAGTTGTGATAGCCAAATGTTGGTCTTGTTTTCTTATATCCAGGCTTATGAAAGTATTTCAAAACGAAATTTCAACGAATTTGGGCGTTACGCGATAGCGTAACATTCAATGTGCTTATCGTCTCAAATTTTGTGAAGAGTTTGATCAACTTTGTGAGCGGTTGACGGAACAGAGCGTAGCGAGTCTTCAAGGTTTAAATTTCTAGAGCGAAAGCAAGCAATTTGGAAGCAGCTGATCTTTATAAAGCGTCTTCGTCATAAGCACTACGAATTTTTCACTAGGCTTTGAAGCGTTGTAGGTTACATATACACTCACTTACAGTACCAAATTTCAATGTTTTTATTTAATTATCTGTTGCTTCCCAAGTGCTAGATTATGGTTTCGCAAGATTAGTGTTGCCAAGGTTATAAGACTGTGTAGCCACCAGTTTGGGCGACGCCACAACATTTTCCTTGGCTTATTATTATAAGTAATGATCATTTAATGACGTGATTTTTAATAAATTTCAGTCCTTTGATAATGGCCTGCAATTCTTTTGCCAACACGGTCCAACAGAATGCATGGGTAATCGACAACAATCGTGTGTCTTACACCAAAGCCACGACCCATTGGCACAAGTGAAATTTGCTGTATGTCAAATGAACAAGCTTGACACAAGCAGCATCAAAGAGGTAAGCCGAAGTTAATAAGAATTCTTCACATTTAATTATCAAAATAAAACAAAACATAGGAAAGAGAATACTCCTTAAAGAAAAATTTGAACCTTAGACCTTACAATTTTAGATGAAAATTCAACGTTAGTATATTGTGAGCACACCTGGTCTTGTGCGTTTGTGATCATGCACAAGATCAAGTAAAATTGAGTGCATAAAATTGTAATTATACAAATTTTTCTAGTGTTCTGAATTGGCCGGTTTGTCTAGCGACATCAATCAATGCATGAATTCTGAAACAGGGACTTTGTTACAATTAGAAGCTGAACGTATAACTCATTCTTACGCGCCGAGTTTTATTCCCACTGTCATTTATAATGGGGTCAGTGTTTTAACTTCAAGCAAACAAATCATTTAAAAAAAAATCCAAATGAAAACGTTGTGGTAAAATTTCAGGTTTTCGAGCAACAACTTCAGGATAACTCTTTACGTGATTTCCGCGGCACTGTATGCTATTTGTTACAGAAACGCGGCGACATCTCTTTTCTTGACGAAGTCTGCTAATAATTAAAGCAACAATAAAAAGAGCAACGACATCGACGGATTATATATTTGCATGTTTTATTTAAAAAGAAAAAAAAAAACAAACCAGTTTGTCCCTGTGTACGTACATATAAAATCTTTAAATCTCTCTTCTACCCCTTATCCAGTACAATTTAAAGTATGTCAACGTTTTATAAAATATTTATTTACTTCTTTTCGCTAACTTAAGTGCAAGTTACTTTTTATAAAACTGGATTTCAAAACAATATGAAAATGTAGTCTCTAAGTATATGTCTAAAATTTTTTAATTATAAGTTTCACAGGAAATGACGACGTTTCTTAAAGCAGTAAATAAATATAAAAGCCGATAGAATCTTCTTCTATGCGTATGTTAATTACTGAGCATTCGGCTTAGGCCGAATTCACCCAATAGTGTTGAAAAAATGTTCTAATGTCTTGCTGATAAATATGTCTGAAGAAATTCTTATTATTATAACAGCTCGTTGTGAGTTTTAAACTGCAATTACTCAAAAGGTGTTTCTGTTAGAAGAATGTTTCAGCTGTCTGCAACCACCCCGTATTTGAAACCGTCAATTTGACGGATAACTTTTTAAAATCGTCACAGGCGCAAACATTAAGATAGGAAGCGAAAACTTTGCACAAACATTTCCTGATCGATTAGGAATACGTGTTTGAAAAATGGACGTGATCTGTTCATGCATGCCCACAATGTAGAAAATATTAAAATAGTTTGAGAAACACCACAAAGTTTTGAAATTTTCGTTTGTAACTTTCCATTCTGTGAACATATTTCTAAAAACTGGTACACAAATATTCGCCAGAATTACCTGCATGCGGATTCGTTTAGAAACCAACTCTCTCATTTTCAAATTTCCACTCAAGATAGTCAATACACCACTTCCAACTTCGCTGCTATCTGTGGGATAGTTCCCATAACAGTTTTGCAGCCAATGATGATGACACATTTTTTCTCCATCAAAACATGAAATTCGGATTTTTTCTTTATTTTGAAAGTATTATTATTATTATTATCATAGTTTAAGACTAATAAAATAATACTAAAAGAAGACATTGGGCACTAGCAACACAGGCTATCGGCTCTAATTAATAAAAGTTCATTAGATATTGAGCCTAGTAGTTTTAATGAAGTAATGTATTGTATTGACGTTCCGTTCCGTACCAGATTTTAGAATGTCTATAGAATTAGTCGACCCAAATGCAACACTTCTATCCAAGGAAAAGTTAAGGCAGTCGCAGAGAATGTGATTTATAGTGAGAGTTTGTCCACAATTGCAGATTGCGGAGGAAGACTTCTTCAAGATCCATTGGTGAGTTGCAATTGTATGACGAAGGCGAATTCTCGAAAATGTTTGTATCTTGGTTTTCTCAACATTTGTTGGATATAAAGGTGGACTTAATTGAGGGTTAATGGGAGAGTAGTGTTGATGACGATATTGTAAATTTCCTTCTGCAATTTTCTCTTTAACTTTTCTTCCAATGTATCTTTGAAGATCCAACTTTTCCACGACATCATCCATAATTAGAGGAGCAGAAGCAGCATACTTTGCCGCTCGATCAGCCTGCTCATTTCCCAATAAACCGAGATGACTTGGTACCCAAAGCATTTTAATTTTTTCGGCGGGTGTTGTAATGATAATTCTTAATTTGTTGATGGTGCTCCATCTCGAAGTCGAAAGATTCCGCATACCTTTTAATACAGACGAGCTGTCAGTAACAATGACGGTTTTGAGTTTGTCTTTATAAGAAAGCAGCGTGAAGGAAAGTTGAAGCACTTTCGTGAAGTATGTGATTGAGAAGAACCTGTCCGGAAGCATCTACCTTGGCGCAAGCAGATGGCAGATCAGAAGCTTTTGAACTCTCTGTGTAAAAGATTCCAACCATTACTCTCCAGTACTTGGGTTTTTCAGCTATTAGGTTCCTGAAGGCATAATTTCTTGTGCATACACATCGGAATGTCAAAAGAGTAGTCTTTCAAAATCCATAGGGGTTTGAAACCAAAATAGCGGAAAATTTTTAAAAGAATGTTTAATTCCTTTGCGGCATACAAACAAAAGTCAATTGCAACAGATGGTGACTTTCGAATTTTCTTAGCAATAATAATACTCCTCACATCTTCACCGAGAATGGATTTTTTTGAATTAAGAAGCTGCGGGACTATTTTAGCCTTCAACTCATAAAGTCTATTTCCTAAATCTGGGAGACCAATTTCAATTATAATATTTATGGGCGTCGTTCGAAACTTGCAACTTGCTTTGAGGGCTTGGTGATAGACCGATGGATATTAGATTTGCAGATATTGCTGTACATTATCAAAACATAGTCAATCTTTCTTAAAGCAAGCGCTATGGTAAGATAAGCAGTAACGTTAATGCGCGCATGACTGTTCCAAACAACGTATAGTATAAAATTCAGTCTCGTTAAAATGGCATTTTTTAACCGAAGACAGTGTGTTTTCCAACGGGTACGGTCTGTTACGTGTTGAGGGTGTACTGATCGTCTGCCCCAGTGGCGATTTCACTTTTTTGGTTAGGAAGAGTTATATTAAACGTTATAACTCCCTCTGAATCTGCCTGCGTGGTGATCACAACTTGATCGCTGGGACCACCACCAGCCTTCGCGAGCGTGGTGGGTTCGACCTTTGGCTCACCCTTATCCGAATGCATTTTCTTGAAAATGCTCTCTATATCAGCATCGGAAATTGTATCGGTGGTATCATTGTTTGTTCCGCTTGTATGTCGCTGTCGAAGCTTAAGCTCATTTGCTTCAAATCGACATGTCTCATTAAGCACACCTCCACTAATTAAATTAGGTGAGTCTGCCCCCGAATTACAGCTTTTTTTTACATTTGTTTCGCAAGCTTGATGTGTTTCCATATGCTGCTTATAGTAATTTTCTTGAATAAAAGTTAGCGAACAGATATAGCATGAGAAGAAGCGAATATTGTTTGCTGTTGCACAGCTTCCAATATCATCGGCCGAACTAGCCAATATGGATTTATTTGTCGTCTCGCAGAGAGATCCATTAATACCTCCTAGAGATATTTTTTGGCTGTTAAGCATATTAGGCGATGATACGGGCATAACTACGTGCTGTTTCGCCGAAAGGACATGTCGATTCTGTTGGTTGACATTTTGTTGAGACTTTGGTTGTTGGTGTACCCTGTTGTCTTGCTGGTGTGTTTCGAAATGCTTGATCAAAAGGTCGCGTTTTGAAAATGACATGGAGCACGTGCCACATTTGATAACATTGCCTTGATGCAGCCTCGCATGTGCGGCCGCCGCCTCACGAGTTTCGAACCGTTGAGCACACAATTTGCATTTGAATGGAAGTCGTCTAATACCAGCCGCATGATTGCGCATGTGCTCGTCGAATGAAGGCTTATCAGTGGACTTTAGCTGACAATGAATGCATGTGTACACAGGCGTATTAGCGGCTCCGGAATTAGGTGGGCGTGCTGCAATTGTGTCGACTTGCGGGACTGCAGTTGGCGCTACTGCAACGACAACGCTGGTACTATGTTTTAGATCCATTGACGTGTTGTGCTCTCGTATCATGTGCTGCTTTAATGAACCAAAATTATGGAAGATTTTCTTACAATTCCTACACTGAAAGTTCTGATGCTCGCACGTCTCGTAATGAGTGTTCAATACACGCATATCGGAAGTTTTATACTCGCACACCAAACATTTATACATTTTTGTGGTGGGCTTCCTCTGTACCACTGGCGGATGTGGCAAAGTTTTTAATTGTTGCGCACCGCCGCTTATAGCAGCTCCATTATTTAACTTTTGTAGCTTAGTGGGCGGTAACACTGCTGTACCTTCAACATCTAAGTTATATTTCTTGTTTAACAGACTTTTCAAACTCGTTCGCACGCGCTCGACGTCGTT